TCAGCACAACAAACATTATTAACATTTCGATTAACAAAATGCAAAGGATATACTCGCGTCTTCTTTACAGCACTATCGTCACATGCATCAACATTACAACAAATCGCATTCGATCAAGTGGATTTCAAAGGATGCGGTTCATGGGAAATGTTAAATCATTGCAACTCGTTGGAATTACTCGATATTTGTCAGTGTACGAATATCGAGCAAGAAATGGTTCAGACTCTCATAAATCATTTACAACCTTTGAAAAACCAACTTCTACACAATCAAAATTTAAAGTTGTTTGCGGATAATTTCCAAGCCAGATACATTGGAGCAAAACTCTGTGAAGAATTAAGAGAATGGTGCAGAGAAACCAATCGCATTCACAGTAATAATATTTATATGAGTCATCAACATCACATAAATAGTTATATTGCAAATAACAATAGCATCATTAATAATGTCGATGATGTTAGCAGAGAAAATATTGATAACATTAATAATAGTAACATTAGTAGTAGTATTAGTACTATTAATCATATTCTTAATGATAATAATGTCGATACTAATAGTAGTAGTAGTAGTGCTATGATTTATTATCATGAAAATTATTTTGATACGAATAAATACGATTATTATGATTATTATGATTATGGCGATGATGATGACGATGATGATGACGATGATGATGATGATGATGATGATGATAACAATGGTTATAATAATTATTAAATATATATATATATAGCATATAGATGTAGAAACATACAAAAACATTATATATAAGATTTTTTATATTTTATATTTTTATATATTTTTTTTCTTTTAAGATTTTATTTATTAAAAAAAAATAAAAAATTTAAATTGTTTCTGTTCATGGTTAAATTGTTTTGTTCACGGTTCGTTCATGCTTGTTATTTTTAAAATTAGTATATAAAAATCCAGTATGGGCGCGAAATTTTCTTTGATTGGCCAATCTAATTTTCACATGTGTGAATTGCCGCACAACATATTCTTAGAAAAAATATATTGAAAAAATTTTTTTTTTAAAGGTAGCAATTATACAATTCCTAGTAAAAAGTTATCTTTCTCTGTCTGTCTATTCCAATTGGCGTGTTTACAAGGGCTGCTGGCGTAAGTAAATCCTAATTTAGTAACAATTGTC